ACAACGGCAGCACTGCCAGCTGGGTCCCCCGCCCCCCTGGGCGCGACTCCGGCCCCTGCGACTACTGGATCCTCACAAGACCCGGTAGCCTTGGTGTTTGCAGGAGCGGTGACCATTCTGTAGCGCGTTGCTTCCGCTGCCTCGACGACCTCTACCATCATTGTCATGGTCACGAGGGATGCACTCCGCACTGGGCACAGCTGCTAGCCCGTAAGAATCTTGTATTTGATTTGTCTATGGATGAGGCATGTCAGTTTGCCATGTATGCTGATGTTGACTATAGTGCTGATGAATGTGCTTGCTCCCGTGTTCTTAGAATAAAACCCATTCTTGGGCACGGGACGACTGCAATATGTACGGACGCTACTACCGGTACACTTGCCACGTTCATCCAGGGAGCCCCGCTACGGTCTCTACATTCTGCACACTGAGCGCTCCCAGGCATCTACGTCCCTACAGATCACTGTGTCCGGTCTGGTTGTTGCGTCTTGCTCCTGTCAGTCCCTCACCCACTCAGCAGTCTTGTGGCACCACCGTCCTGGCCACCCGTCCCTCCCTGCCTCCAAAGCATGGCTAGTTAGCGTCTTGTCTCGGATTTCCCACGCGTCTTTGCGTCGCTCCCTCCCTCGCCTTCGCCGTCGTGCACTCCTTGCATCGAGGGTAGACTACGCACCACTCCTCACTCCTCCTCCCTTCGTCCGGAAATAGCTCCCTTTCAGACCCTCTACTTGGACGTCTGGGGCCCAGCCCCTCGACTTGGCCCCGAGCGGGTGGTGGTCGTTGATGACTACTCCAGGTACACCACGGTGTTTCCTCTAGCGAATAAGTCCGAGGTAACTTCTACGCTGATCGGGTGACTCCTGGCCACTGAAGGAACTCATGTTAGTCATGTCCTTTGTCTCCACTCCGACCGTGGAGGTGACTTTCGCTCCGACATGCTTGCCGGATTCTGCGGCAAACAGGGCATCACACAGTCCTGGACACTTTCGAACTCCCCACAGCAGAATGGGCTTGTTGCGTGCCGCATTGGCTTGGTCATGGAGATCGCCCACACCTCCATGATCTATGCCCGTGTGCCCCATTTTGTGTGGCCCTACGCGGTTCGCTACGCCGCCCACCAGCTGAACCTCTGGCTTCCTGTCTTACGACCAGGGGATTCTCCGACCAGACTTTGGACCGGGTCCCCTGGTGTTGCGTCGGAATTTCGAGTCTGGGGCTGCCTTGCACTGGTTCGCAACTCCTCTGTGGACAAGCCCTCTGCTCACGCCATCCCTTATGTCTTCCTTGGTTTCCCAGTTGACTCTCCAGACTTTGAGTTTTACCACCCGCCCCTCCACTGGTTCCCCGACTCCCATGATGTCCGGTTTGACAATTCTGTGTCCTAATATACCCGGTACCCTTGCCGAGGTCTCCCAGTTCATTCCCCCTCCTCTTTTCCTCGCCCCCACTCCTCCTCTTGCACCCACTCCTCCGGTACCCCAGCCCCCCCAGGTCCTGCCCCGTCAGGTGTGTCTCACGCTACCCCTCTCCCTTCGGTAGTATGTCAGGTGTCGTCTCCCTCCCCACAGTCCTCCTCACAGTTACCTCAGTAGCCTTTTGCACTACCACAACATGTTGCAGTGGACTCAGAGGGTGTCGAAACTGGAGGTGCTCATTCTGGGGGTGCTCGTTCTAGGGATGCTGGAGCTGGAGGTATTGGCAATAGAGGTGCTGGAGCTGGAGGTGCTGGTGGTGGGATTCCTGACCTTGAAGGTTGAGGTTTTGAGGTTGTTGGCACTAGAGGTGCTAGCCCTGAGGGGGTTGGGGATAGAGGCACTCCAGTTTCGATGCCTCCTTTGCCTCCCCACCGTTACGACTCATGTTACCAGGTTGCTTGCCGGTGTGCGCGCGAGGAGCAGGAGAGGTTGGTGCAGGAGAGGCAGGAGCTGCAGCAGCTAGACCAGCAAGAGTAGCAGAAGCAGAAGCAGGTGTAGCAGGAGCAGCAGCAGCAGCGGCCGCAGCAGCCGCAGCAGTTGCCCCTTTTGCAGCATTTGTTCCCACCTGTGAGTGGCCTTCGGACCCTTGGTGTTCCCTCCTCTCCTACTATCCGCTCACAGTCTCCTACATCGTACGGTCATACATTTCCTCCTCCGAACTCGACTCTAGCTGTTCTCTCTCCTCCTTAGTCACAGTCGCCTCCTCCTGTTGTCCCACACGACTGGACCACTCATTGTCCTCCGCGTGCTTGTCCTTCGCCTCCTTTTGACGACCTTCGCGCTGTCTTCTTTCGTTCTAGTCATCGTCGTGCTCCGCCTGTGTCTGTTCTCCCGCCACATTCTGAGTCGTCTCTCACTGTCTGCTCTCACCCTATCACTGACTAATACCATGTTTCTCACACTGTTGTCACACGTGTTCTCGCCTCTCTTGTCATGGGCCCTCATGCCTCTCCGTCGTTTGTCTCGGCTCTCACTGCTGCTGTCACATTTTGCCGCCACCCATCACCTTAACTACGCCACCCGCGAGCGGCTGCTCCTCCTACCTGTCCTCTGTCCGCTGGGAGTGAGTTTGCCCTTGGTTGTGTCGTTCTAGAGGACAGGCAGTTTGAGTTGGAGATCTTGGCAGCCATGCTGCTTTCCCCTGAGGGAGACCCCAACGCCCTTGGCATACCGACTCCTTGCACGTACCATGAGGCAGTGTAAGGGCAGTGGACCTCTCAGATGACATCTTGGAGATCCACAAGCACCTACGTCAACGCAGTTCCCTCTCCTAGGGCGAACGTAGTCGACGGCATGTGGATCTTCAAGGTGAAACGGCCGCCTGGGTTACCGCAGTCTTCAAGGCGCGCTACGTGGCTAGGGGCTTCAAACAGTGTGAGGGAGTAGACTTCTTTCAGACCTTCGCCTCGACCCCGAAGATGGTAGGAGGTTGGGTATGAGGTTTGGTAGGAGTGTCAGAGGTATGAATGATAGTAGGGTTGGTAGGATAAGTGGTTGAAGGGCTGGTGGGAGCATCGAACGGGTTTGATATGTAGGAGGAATGATGGGAGGTTTTGTGAGAGGTTTGGTACTGTAAGGTTTGGTAGGACGCTCGGTAGGAGGATTAACTAAAGGAGTGATGGGAGGGGGAGATCCGGCGTTAGTATCATGAGAAGATGGCGGTATATGTGTGCATAGGGTGCCGCTTGATTCTGCTGAGGATGATATATTAGGTGCCTCAATCAGCGTTGGTGATGATACTTTGGGCGCCTCATAAACTGCTGAGCGTGAGGAGGTGAGGTATGATGAGAAAGTTGTTGTACCGCTCACAGACAAGGGTCTGCTGGGGCTGGAACTTGAGGTGAATCGGCAGCTTTAACGAACTGATCGCCAACGGCGAGTTGATCGTCGGCAGACGGTTGATCGATGGCGGATGGTTGAGCCGGCAGATGGTTGGTCACTGGCGGATGGTTGATCGTCGGCAGATGGTCCATCACCAGCAAATGGTCCATCGCCAGCAAATGGTCCATCGCGAACAAATGGTTTGTCGCCAGCAAATGGTTCATCGCCACCAGATGGTTCATCATTGGCAGATGGCTGACTGGCGGACTGTTGATCGACGTGAAACAGCTTATTGACGGCAGACGATTGATCGCCGTTGGAGGGGTCGAATCACAGTTGACTCGGCTCACGCAGTTTCTGGACTTGTACGAAGTCGTCGTGTCTAAATGCTTTTCCTGATACTGCGGACGTCGCGGGCACGACTGCCATGTCAGATCGACATGAAGCAGCAACGGAGCGGTGTTATCATGGAGCCCGGAGGGGATCCTCGTGTAATTCATCAAAAGAAAGGAAATGTAGTACGGTGCATGCCTATAATCCAATGGTAGCAAACGAAAGAGCGAGAGCGATTGCGATGCGGACGTGAACCGATGTCGGGAACTTCTCGGCTGGCCATTTCTGAGGTTTTGTTGTCGTATCTTCACGTCCTACTAGAGCCATAGTTGGCGTATTCAATAAGTCGTTACCCTGTGACTCCGTCGACGCACGCACAAACTATCTTCAGTAGAGGTGTTTTGAACAAGTGCAATGACATATAGCTTACAATGACCTCTACGTTGATTAATAACGACGACAAGTAGCTTACAATGACCTCTGCGTCGCCATCTAAGGCACAACGAGGAGCATGATATGATCAGCGTGTGATAAATCATTGTAGGTGGACGGAGTCCGTAATCCGAGACGGTAGGAGGATCGGCAGAATAAAAAATATAAGTTGTAATGCAGCAGGACAATAAAAATGGCTACTAGAGTTCCTTCAGAGAACAAGCTGCCAGCCCAGGAGGGAGGACTCATCAAGGTAGAGGTGGCTTATGAGGAAAATCTCTGACCACCGTGTGGCGCATACAATCTATCAGAAACGACTCAAACCGTCTGCCACCCACAGTGTTTCCGAAATATCTTGCTGGACTGTCACGGACTTAGGTTTCGGTTTGTTTCGGTTTTGGGGACGTGTGAGCAGCATTCGGTTTTCCAGTCAATTTCTGACTAGTGGAATGCTGGCTTGATCGATCACGAAGACGGAGAAGTGGAGGTGCGGGCAGGTTCGCCGGAACCAAAGTACACTACGGTACTTCCTAACTTATGTAACCAGAGTTGTGCGCCTTCAATTGCTGACACTAAATGCTTGTGCTACCGGTATATAATACATTCCCAAAACAAAACAGAAAATCCTCAACGCCATGTCAACCCAGACCAAAGTCCGGAAAATCTTCGCACGAGTGGAACCGGCGAACACGCACCACCTGGTTGAACGAGACTTGCTTCTTCAGCCTGCCTCTCCCTCCCAACCCACTCCCATCCCCACTCCCAATCCCATCTGCGAGCGATAAACAAGACTTCACAGGGCTCTTGGGAGGAAAAGGGCTTTCTGATTCGGCCGACTCATGCCCATCCGCACCCCTCTCCACCTGTCCCGTGCCATCTCTCCCTCCCAACTCACCCCCATCCAATAGACCCGATCTGACAGATTTCGTAGGCTGCAACTCAAGAGACCTCCTCCTGCCCACCCTTCCAGGACTCCTCATCTGCCGACCGGACCTATCAGCAAACCTTGCATTTGCTCCAAACAGCCCACCCGGACTTCCAGTCGGTGTGCCGTTTAAGGGATTGCACCCATCACTCTGCGACCTTGTGAAGTGCCGTGTGCCTTGGTCAATTCTTACCAAGTGTTGACCATCTTGGTGCATCCCTGTCAGCTGCTGCGCATCTTGCCCCACTCTCATCAACTGGTGTGCAACTTGCTCCACTCTCAGACCGCCTGGGACAGAGAGAGGGTGGAGCAGTGAGGAGAAATAGCCGTGGGGCACATCTTCTCTTCGCCCACCACCACTGCCAACTCCTTTTCTTCGCCCACCACCACTACCAACTCCTTCTCTTTGCCCACCATCGCCAACTCCCTCTCTTCTCTGGTGTGAGTGCAGATTCTCTTCTTGAGGCGCCTCAGAACCAGAGCAAGGGCGGCTGGGGCTATCCCTTTTTCCTCCGATAAAGCCAACCCTCAGGCTTGGGACCACTACCCGCCCTGCTGCCTCTTCACCAAGCCGCTCCCCCCCAAGATTGTCAACCGAGCAGGAGGCCCGGATGGAGGAAGAGCTTGGGGGCCGGGATGGGGGAAGAGCAGGAGGCCCGGATGGGGGAAGAGCAGGAGGCCCGGATGGGGGAAGAGCAAGAGGCTCGGAAGAGGGAAGAGCAGGAGGCCCGGATGGGGGAAGAGCAGGAGGCCCGGATGGGGGAAGAGCAGGAGGCCCGGATGGGGGAACTTGGAGGACGGAGTTGCACAGGGAAAGCTTGGGGGAATGAGTGGGGAATCGCAGGGGCTTGGATGGGCCGACGGAAGGGGGATAGGGAGGGGAGATGGGGAGGTTGGGACTGGGGAGAGTGGGGGGATGGCAATGGCAGGGGGGAGAGGGGGACTTGGAGGACGAGGTTGCGGAGTCGGGTTGACTTGGGTGAGTGGTAATGGAAGGGGGGCTGGGGACGTTGGATGGGGAAGGGTTGTGTTGGCCAGTTGGTGTTGTGGTGCTGCCAGCGGACAATCTTGGAGCGTCCATAGGTGATTGCTTGCTACAGATCTCTTCCCTATGTGACTGCTCCCCCGCGGCAACTCCCCTTGATGCACCGCCCTTTTCCTCCACGGCAACTCCCCTTGATGCACTGCCCTTTTCCTCCACGGCAACTCCCCTTGATGCACCGCCCTTTTCCTCCACGGCAACTCCCCTTGCTGCCCCGTCGCGCTGCACTGACCGCGCAGTCACGACTCCGTCATGCGTATCCTCCTCTTCATCATAAGTGCCACGGATGGTTCCGTTTCTGACAAGGTCAGCAGCAGAGGCGCGGGCACTCGTGGGGCAGAACGAGTCGGAGCAACTTTGGGGGGAGCAAGCGCGAGGGGATGTGGCGGAGCAAGCGCGAGGGGATGTGGCGGAGCCGCGTTCTATGGTGGACTGTGCTCTGCGGACGGCGCGGTTGCTCCGAGGCGCGATACAAGCCGTGTAGCCGTACCTTGAAGTATGGCCGTGCATACTAGTAGAGCTTGCAGCTTTGAGGGCCTTGAACGCCTCGAATCCCTCGGAATCTCCGAAATTTCCGAGATTCGCGAAAGCCACAAAGTCACGTTCTGTCGCCGATGCTGCCCTGCGAGAGGTTCGGCAATTGTGCGAAGGCGGCGGACCGAGGGCGCGATGGGGAGGTGAGGAGGTGAAGAGGAGGCGAGCTAGTCGAGGAGAGGGGACGAGGTGACAGCTCAGTCGAGATCGAGGGGAGGGCGCGAGTCGAGGTGAATGCGACGCGGGTGGATGGGGCGAATGGGACGCATCAACAGGCGGATGGGGCGGATGGCGAGGTGAAGATGCCACGGCGGCAAGAGGAGGAGAGGCTGAAGAGATGTTGGCAGGAGAAGAGGGTTCCTGCTTTTGCTGAGATGCTGCTGCTGTTGCTGCTGCTTCAACACCCGCCCCTTCAAATAATGAAAGCTCCCTTCCTCCTCCTCCCCCTCCCCCTCCCCCTCCCCCTCCCCCTCCCCCTCCCCCTCTTCTCTCATCCAAGTGCGACGTCGACCGGGAGCGGAGGAAGCGGAAACGGTCGGCGGAAGCCCCGCGCACAGGCGGAACACTTGTGGCGGAACCTCCGGCGCGTATCTTCCGCACACCCGTAAGAGCTTCCGCTCGCGGCCCGCTGTGCAAGAGGCGGAGGAAACACCGGCCGACGTCCGCGCCAGCGCTGTCATCAGGCGAGTGACCGGCGGTGGCGCTGCTTTCTGCGGTGGCGCTGCTTTCAGGGGGGGCGCTGCTTTCCGCGACTGACTTCCGAGTCTTTGCGCCTTTGCTGCCTGAGATTGCTCTTGCGCCCTCGTCGCCTCCGCCTTGCTTAACGCTTGCGCCTTCTGCAGCTGAGCATCCGCGAAGCGCAGGCTTCGCGGAAGCCGCCGCCGCCGCATCGTCGCGCCACTCCGCGTCCATCTCGAACGACGGCGCGGCTTTCCGCCGAACAACTTCCGCGTGCGGGCTGCGCGCGGCGGCGGAAGGCGTCACCGCGGCAAAACTGGCTCCGCAGGTGCTGTCCACCGGAACCACAAGATCTGCGAGATCGCATCTGCTAGTAGTACTAGCAGTAGTAGGTACTAGTACGAGCCTGCGCGGTTTCTGCCGAACGCTGGCGTTCCCAGCGTGCGGGCTCCGCCGCGGCGCGACGGCAGTAATCACAGGCGGAAGCCAGGGGGACGCCGCCACGCCGATGTCCGCTGCTGACGATGACGAAGTTGTGTTCATTGCGCACTCGGTGCTGCGGCGTTCCGCGGTGCGAGAACGTGGCGATGAAGCACCGTAGGAGGCAGATCGACTGATACTGCTGCTAGCGGCATCCACGGCGGCGTACGCGCGTCCGCCGGTGTGGGGAAGGGGCGGCGTCAAGTTCACCGCGTCCGCGCCGCTGCTAGTAGGGCGGAATGACTTAGAGTGGGGTCTGGCAGTCGTAGAACAAGAGCTGATCCGAGCCGCACGACTGCTAGTAGTAGTAGCATTTGAGGTGCGACTCGGATCAGCTCCTGCTCTATGACTACTGCCTGTAGCAGTAGTAGAGGTGCCACCCGTGTCGTCCGTGTCGGGAACCATGACGACGAACGACGCCGCTCTTCTCGGCCAGTATTACGCCTAGTCGCTCCGGGAGTCCCGGCGGCGCCGGTAGTAGCGGGTACTACTAGAAGAAGAAAGGAGTCGTCGAGGCGTGAGCGTCTCAGAGGTGTGCATATCACGGGTTGTGACGGGTGCACGAGCTGACTTAAATTCAGAGGTTTGAGCCACCTTGCATGACGGGAGAGAGGAAGACTCGTGACTGGTCGGGCCAGTGCGCGGGGAGAAATGGGGACGGAACTGTTTCGTCGCCCAGTGTTACTAGTACTAGCAGTAGGTACCCGGAACATTGCCCCGGCAGAAAATCCCACGATGAACAGTACTATGCCGAAGCAATGATCCGATACTAGTCGACAGTAACAGAACATACTCTCACGCAATGCCTTTTCCGCGAGGCTACACGTCGCCCGTCCGTTGACAATCGCCGTTGACACGGTCGCTCAACGACGGAACTCGCCACTAACGAATGACGTGAGCGTGACATGCATATGCGATGCGACGCGCGGCAGATGCGTTCAACAGAAGGAATGCGCAGACTACAGTACTTGAAGCGCCGCACATTGATCGTGGAGGCTGTTTCGTTCGGGAGGGACAGAGGCTGCGAGAGGAGCAGGTCTGCTTCATGATGACGAGTGTGATGATGTGAAGTGGTGGTGTGGTGAGGTGGAGGTGCAACGATGAGCGCCAGAGCGACAAAAAATTGGCTGCTTCGAGAGGTGGCGAGGCGAGGCTTGAATGGGGATGTGGCGACAAGGTATGCGAGAGGGAGAAGCAAAGGGGTGGGATGAGGTGGGAAGAAATCACGATCAGGTTTTGTTTCTTGGTTGGGGTAAAGTTACGAGTGCACCTCCCTGCCCCGGTGAAGGCCGGGTAACTCGGCAGGCCCACATAAATTTCGCTGTACTCTTTGTTGCATTGTGGATTCAGGCAAGCGAAACACATTTCGTTACTGCGCGCAAAATCGAACATATGAAATAAGCATAATCTGTCAGGCCGTTTTAGGGTTGCGTAGCAACCCTATATAATCAGTTTCACTTTTTGGGGATATCATTTCAAAAGTGATTTTTAAAGCACTCTTTGGAGCACCCGCTTGAACAATTTTTTTGCCACCGTGTTCAAGAGAATGTCTCCAATAGTGAATAAAAATCACTCGTGAATGAGATCCCAAAAGTGAAACCAATTACACATCATGTTGACATGAAAAATTCTATGCGTTTATCGCTTTCAAATTTGTGTATTAAAGCGAAGCTGACTGTAATGCAATTTTGTGCATCGTCGAAACGCGGTATTCGCCTTCTCCGAATATATATGGTGGGCTGGGGTCATTCTCCCCCCACCCACGTCTCTCATTTTTACAATCGCTCAAGTTCAATTCCTGGTTCCGAGACCCATCCCGAAATTTTCGGAGGTTCCAGTCCCCTCCCGATTTTTCCGGACTTCAACCTGGCGAGAGTGAAAACCCTTCCTCGCTTTCAATCTCCTTCTACGCTGCTGTCGGACATTCTTAACCACAACCAGGCTTCAATGGCGCCCAGCACTCCGCTTAATCGTGGCGAGGCTTCTAACGGCAACGCCCTGAACCGTTCGGACAACGAGAAGAACGCCCGCGAAATTTCGGGCGATCGCCGCAACAAGAGACGGGCTGAAGACGAAGATGTCGCGCCCACTGGCGTCGATTTGTTGATGCGCAGTGGCGTGAGAAGAATTGAACGAGGATGAAATGACTATGAACGAAGTGAGTACAAATAGGAAACCCTAATTGGGTTGTACCCCCTATGGGATACCCCACTATAGCCTACACAAATAAGTAAGCTAGAATGTTCTGACACACCCCCATAGGCAAAGTGGGGGAGAACAAGGGGTCACAAGACCAGTCAAGCAAAGCAAAGCAAAGCTCAGGGTGGATCACAAAGTCACCACACATTCCGAGCACAAGTTCAAGGGCCAGAAGGCCAGTTAACAAGCAAGATCATATATAGAGATATACAAGAGTCAAGCAAGCAAGAGCAAGAGTATATATAGGTGAAGGTACAAGCAAGGTCAAGAAGTGAGCAATTGAGGCAAGGCAGGCACAAGACCCAGCTGCGTGCAACAACGCTGATGATCACCAGGCGCAAGTGCCTTGGTGAAGACATCAGCAGTGTTGGCCTCAGAGGCCACGTACGCAAGTCGCAACTGTCCACGCTGCTGTAGCTCACGAGCAAGAAAGTAGCGGAGAGCAATGTGCTTTGTCCTGTGCTCCAGTCGCTGCTCTCGACACAAGGCCAGCATGGCCTTGTTGTCTACGTACAGGACTGGAGGAGAACGAGGCGGCTCTCCAAGGTCGGTCAGCAGGTAGGTGAGCCAGCGTAGCTCCTGTGCAGCCATAGCCCCGGCGTAGATCTCAGCCTCACAACTGGAGCCGAGAACAGAAGACGAGCGGGTAGCCCGCCACGAAACAGAGCCGGAACCAAGGCTGAAGGTGTAACCCTGTGACGACCGCTGCGTAGCCTGGTCGTCAGCCCAAGAAGCGTCCGCGTGTCCAGTGAGGACCACTGGACTGCGCCCTCCAAGCACTAGCCCCATGCCCGACGTACTGCACAAGTAGCGCAACACCCTCTTCGCTGCAGCCATGTGCTCTGGTCGATGTCTCCCAGGAGCAACATAGCGTGCAAGAATGCTAAGAGGGTATGCAAGGTCAGGTCGAGTGCAGGTCATCAGGTATATGAGGCAGCCAACAAGCTCTGCATACGAGCCACTCGACTCTACGGACTCATCCGAAGGCAGAGCTGAGAGCGAGTGGCGAGTAGCCAGAGGAGTGGCCTGAGGCGAGGAGTACGTGAAGCCGAAGCGCTGAAGGACCTGCTGCACCATGTGTGACTGAGTCAGGGTAATGGTGCGCTGTGCTCTGTCCCGGGTGATCTGCAAGCTAAGGTAGCTGCGCAGTTCACCCAGGTCAGTGCACGTATGTCTCTTCTGCAGCTCGGACTTCACGTAGGCGAGTCTAGCAGAGTCAGCTGTGGCAAAGACCAAGTCGTCGACGTACACGAGGGCGTAGAACGGCGGCAGAGAGGTGTCGGTGCGCAGAAACAGCGACTGGTCGGCAGTAGAAGGAGCAAACCCAAGTGCCGCAAGCGTAGTCCTCAGTGTGTCGTGCCACTCACGTGGCGCCTGGCGGAGACCGTAGACTGGACGCCGGAGACTCCACTGGGTACCAGGAAGGAAAGACCCAGTGAAGCCAGGTGGGCGACGCAGCCAGATTTCCTCGTGCAGACTGCCCTGCAAGAAAGCTGTGCTGAAGTCGAGAGAGTGCAGCTCGTAGTCACGGTGAGCAGCAACGTGCAGCAGTACCCAAAGAGTGGTCATCTTCGAGGTGGGGGAGAAGGTCTGAAAGTAGTCAACTCCCTGCCGCTGACTGAAGCCACGAGCCACGTAACGTGCCTTGAAGACAGGCGGAGAACCCGGCGGCCACTTCACCCTGAAGATCCACATGCCACTGACTATGTTCGCCCCAGGAGGGGGAACAGCGTCAACGTAGGTGCCTGTGGACTTCCAGGAAGCCATCTCTGCATCCATAGCTGCCTGCCACTAAGAGGAGTAGGGACCCTCTATCGCCTCCGCGTAAGAGCGCGGAGTCGGGATGTCAAGTGCATCCGGGTCTCCCTTAGGGGCTAGCAGTACAGACGCGAGATGAGGTGAAGCGGCGGCCAGACACTGGAACTCCTCCTACCTGTCCTCAAGAACGTCCGTGCCAAGGGCACACTCACCCCTGACGGACAGAGGACAGGCAGACTCAGACTCAGCGACAAGACTAGCAGCGTAGTCAAGACGACAGCGCGCAGCAAAGTCGACGAGCTCAGTGACAAGGGCAGACGCAGCAGACGACTCAAGAGAAGGGTCTGTGACAGCAGTAGCAAGGAGACGCGTGACAATAGGACTGGCAGCACGAAGAGAGTCCGACTCCGGGTCGGCAAGAGCAGGAAGAGAGGAAGCAGGAGGAGAAGGCAAAGGGGCACGCAGAGGAGCAGTGGACGGACGCAGAGACATCCGGTGCGTGCCAGGGACAGGAGGAGGACGCTGACGCGAACCGCGACCACTAGTGCGCGCAGTACGAACAGGCGACGCAGGACGAGACACAGGCTCACGACGCTCAGTAAGACCTCCAGTCGGACCAGCGTAGGGAGAAGGAGCAGGCAAAGGGGAGGCAGGCTGTAGCTGTGACTGTGACGGGACAGGCTGTGGACCCTCTAAGGGAGGAGGAGGAGGACCAGGAGAAGGTGTAAGACCAAGAACCTGCTGCAGGAGCGGAACGAAGTACGGTCGGGGCCGCGTGGCGACGCCAGTAACAGCAGGGACAGCACCAGTACCCCCAGCAGGAGTACCCGCTCCAGCAGCACCTCCAGCAGCACCTCCAGTAGCTCCAGAACCTTTAGCAGCACCTCCAGGAGCAATGCCAGTCGGACCGCCAGCGGTAGTCTCAGCGCCAACACCCTCAGTAGCACCAGCTCCAGGAGAACCCTCAGACCTAGCAGCTCCAGCACCCGTAGCACCCTCTGCAGCCGAAGAACCTCCAGTACCAGTAGCACGCCTCCAGCGCCGGGCAAACCACTCACGCAGCTCCTGTGGGGAGAGTGGCTCTCGGCGAGACGAAGCACCTCCAG